CAAACATACAAAACTATTTACATACTTATGGTTTTCGAAAATGTTGTTTCATTAGTCTTTTGAAACAACTCAAAGAATTAGATTGTTTAGCAGTAATTGATAAGTTATTCCAAAGAGTTGCTCCACTATAACTGAAGGTCTTTTTCTTAAATTGTGATTTTGGGAATGGAAGTCCCAGATCTGTTTGAGAATTTCTTAATTGGTGTGTAATTGGACAATCACATATTTTCAAAAAATTTTCTTTCAGGTTTGGAGCAGTTTCATTATTTAAGAGTTTGTAAATAAAAATGGATTTCAAATATTTTCGCCTATTGTCGAGAGTTTGCCACCCCAAAGTTGCAAGAACATCGGCCGACCTAATATCATAAGATGCTCCTGTTATTACTCTAGCAGCTCGGGATTGACATTTTTGTAGTTTTTCCTTTAGGACGATTCCACAGGTATCCCACAATTGACAGCAGTAGTCAAAATAGGGTTGTATTAGGGCGTTGTAAACTGTTTGTAAGAATTCCTGAGAAACACAGGTTTTCATACGTTTAATAACTGCAATGCCTGCATTAACTTTCTTAATAATCATATCAATATGATGTTCCCAGTTCAATTTTTCGTCTAAAGTGACACCGAGACATTTGTAGCAATTTAATCTTGGGACAGGAACATTATTAATTAATATCGGTATTCCTTGAGGTATATTCTTAATTTTATAAGGGGATAAAACAATGCAATAAACATACATTTAGATTTCTTAGGATGAATTTGTAGCTTATTATTCTCCATCCATTGCGTAACAATATTTAGGTCATAATTTATGTTGTCAATACTGAAGATCATTTACATTGTGTGATGACGCGTAAATTTCCGTGTCATCAGCATAAAGACCCGACGTGGTTTTTTGGAGACATTATGGTAGGTCATTGATGTAGAGCAAAAATAACAACGGCCCCAGGATCGACCCCTGGGAGACCCCACATTTTAATTTTCCAACGGAGGATAGTATCCCATTAGCTACGCATTGTTGTTCCATGTGTTTTACTGGAAACTAAAACACTCGTAAAACTCGTTAATTTAATTAAATACAGTTCCTATAATCCGTGCACGCTTTAGTAAGTCTATATAGAGGTCATTTAGTTTTATAGTTTCAAATTTATTCCGCATGATAGAAATTTGGGCTTTACGCTGTATAATATGTGTAATATAAATAATCTGATTAACTGAAACAGACGACAAAAATGACAATTAAATAATATTTTTTCCTGCAGTCAATCACTTGAAAGAAACAGCCGTAAACAACCTAATTAGAATAAAATCTTTGTACTGCTTGTAAACTTGAGTTGTTGCACCAAAGTTGCAGTCAAAATTGCAGTGTATTTGCATTGGGACTAATTCATTATTTATGTCAGATGCTTAAAATTTACAACTTCAAAGTAGAATAATTCTGGAGAATAATAAAGAAGATATATAGCCTAAGAAGATTTTCGTCAAAAAATAATCTTCTTATGTAATATGTATATAGGGAATTACACGGTTCTAGAAGTATTAATTAAAAATCGCACGCCTGTTTGGCGAAATATTTATACTAACAATAATGTCATGATTATTAGTATTTTTGCACAAGTGAACATAACAAAAGCTACACGTTGATTGGTCAAATTTGACGTAATAAGCTGTTACATTCACCTACAGGTGAATATAACAAAACAGAAATTTTCAAAATGGCGGCTACCCGTTTTGTGGAAGTTTACTAACGAAGATATAAGCGAAATTAAAATAAATTCAGTCTCAAAAAACTTCTCGACTTCGTCTTGGCGAATACTCCCCGATAATTACCTCGCCTTCGGCGAATAATTGTTAATTATTATATTTATCGAGGATACCCAATCACGTATGTGTTTTTCAGTTGTGTCCTGCATCAAAATTACAATGATTTATATAAGATTAATTGTCAATATATAAACTGTATATAAAAATATACAAATATATACATGCACGCGGTACAACAACGATAAAACGAACAATTAATTTATAATTTATCAGATTATTAATTTAGTCAACAAGTATGGAACATGCCTCGGAAAGATTAAGAAATAGTCGATCGATTTATAATAATGTATTTTAAATATTTCGCTAAACACAAATGTGATCTTTCATTAATACATCGAGAACAAGTGTACTTTCCCATTAATATCATTTTAGTCAATTTTACACAAGTAGTATATACCGTACACAAAGACTAGAAACATTGTATTTTAAAAATATATATATTCATGTGACCACAGCACGCGCCATTGTGATCAATTTAATTTAAGCATAATTTCTGGCATTAATTTTCAATTCATACTTGTAAAAACTGCGAATAAATTTTATTTCATCTTTGGTTTTTTTTCGATAAGAGCTCAGGGTATGAAAAGAATATAAATTGAATTTGCATGTTGTTTATTTAAAGTTGCTGTAAAGTCCGTTCTCCTGCAGATATAAATATTGGCCAAATTTTGCATCTTTCCAACTTTTTTTGAATTGAAACGTAGAGTTTATATCCATTTACAGGCATAGCGAACCAGAAAAGTGTTAGGTATTCAGTTATAGTATATTATATTCACAAATATAGCAGTTCAAAATGAAACTAACAAAGCGTTTGTTTACATTACGGAGTCTACACATCTTTGACCTTTGTGTTTGAAATTTCAGGCATTGTCCGCACTCACATGGGCGTGAACAATTCACTCGGGCACTTGTATTCGTGCCGAATAATCTTTCATCGACACACATGTGCGATTAGTGTTTAATCGTCAGTTTTACTGACTACAATGACATTAAAGTAGATATAAGAAAAAAATAACATAAGAAGATTTACCAATCCTGAGCACAACAAGATGTAATATTTCAAATCCGAGTTAGTGTTTTAAGGTGGATTTCCAGTCCTCGCACAAAGCTCCTCACAGCTCGTAGACTTGCTCCAAGTCTCTCTTTCATTGTCGTATAGTATCGATCCACAATAGTGTACATTACATGACGTAGTATGGCGGGGCGGAGCAAGATAGAGAGACTTGTCAACTTTGGAAAATCTTCGATATGACAATGAAAGAGAGACTTGGAGCAAGTCTAAGCAGCTCGCTGCGAGTCCATGCATGAGCACTTTTATCCAATCACAATGCTTAAGAGTTAATTTTAATTAGAAGCAAGCACTCGCAGCGAACTGCGAGGAGTTTCGTGCGAGGACTGGAAATCCGCCTTTAGACGTGGTTTCTAAATTAAACACTATGACGAGGATTTGAAATTGCTTCTCACACATCATTAGCTATTCATATAGCAATGAGGCATGAAATTATTAGATATTCAAAAAAGTGAGCGTGCATTGCATTAACGTAACGATTACAATCGCTTGAAAGTTTGCATGAAGTGTAACGAAGCATTCAGTTCGCTTTCGTCGAGAATAGATGAATTTTGTTGGCAAAATAGCATGGAATCTTCTTATAAGAAAAAGCGGTTTCAAGATCCGGGAAGTGTTGAGCACATGCAGTGTTGAAAATGTAAAGAAAGCCACTCGCTGACAAGGATGGAGAACCACCCCCCGCAAACGATATATCAGATTGTGCATGTTTGCGATATGGCGCTATCTGCATGGTGGAATGGAAGAGCTGCGAAGCCAACATATTAGACGGTAAACATTACTGGATAGTTGGCAGAAAAATCGTAATTAATTTTTCCTTTTCGTAAACTTATGTAGTTTTCAAACTTTCACGAAAAGTGCTGGATATATAGTGTAGTTACTAAAAATTTCTAAATACAGCTTACTGTATTTACAAATAATTCTAAACACAGCAATTAAACATATTTGCATAATCTTTTGTTTACGCCCTCAATTTTCCTATTGTTCAAAGCCCTTCCCATTTGAAGTCCTGGTCTAGACGGGGTATCCAGATAGATACACGTGATGTAAATTACACCATGTCATTGGCGGAAATGCTATTGAATATCTACCGATGTGTGAGAAGAACACTTTCAAATTAAGTTTACACTCCATATACGCTGAGATTTCAGGGGCCCCAAATGTGGCAAGGGGTAAAACAACTCAGTTTCTCAATCATCTAAACGATCCAGTACGGTCAGTTTTGACGAAGAGTCGCAGACTCTGCATTCTCTCTTCGATACAATTAGCCAATCTTGACTTTAGTAGAGTCGTCTGTACTAAACACTAAACAGTAACTATCTACTAAACACTAACTGAGGGCGGTCTGCATCCACCCACCCAGCCTGCCTGTTTTGTACGCTTATGTTGAACATTAGACGAAACTAATAACCTAGTCATAGCAATAGGCGAACAAAAAAACAAAAAGTGAGACAGTTGGCCGTCCCTACAAAAATTTAACCATGATTGAAATTGATCGAAACCCGATTGAATAAGGCTATAGCGTTTACTTTTCGTCTATTTTCAGGGACCTTTTTCATTTTTCATACTAATTAAGGTAAAAACCAGCAAAAATGTAAGGCTATAGCCTCTGCTATTAGCCCATTTTCACCGACATTTTTCATTTTTCGTAAAGAGGCAAAAACAGCAAAAAAATAAGGCTATAGCGCTTACTTTTCGTCCATTGTCAACGACATTTTTCATTTTTCATAAAGGGGCAACAAGCAGCAAAAACGTACAGGTATAGCCTTTATTTTCCTTCCATTTTCAGTTACATTTTTCAATTATAAAGGGGCAAAAACAGCGAAAAAGTAAGGGTATAACCTTTACTTTTCGTCCATTTTCAGCGACTTTTTACATTTTTCATAAATGGGCAATTAATTAAAAGCAGCAAAAAAGTAAGGCCATAGCCTTTACTATTCGTCCATTTTCAACGATTCTTTTCATTTTTCATAACGGAAAAAAACAGCAAAAACGTAAAGGTATAGCCTATACATTTCGTCCATTTTCAACGACTTTTTTCATTTTTCATAACGGGGAAAAAACAGCAAAAAGTAAAGTTATAGCGTTTACTTTTCGTCCATTGTCATGAAAAATAAAAAAGTCGCTAAAAATGGACAAAACGTAAAGGCTATAACAGCCTTTACTTTTTGTCCATTTTTAGCGACTTTTTTCATTTTTCAAAAAGGGGGGGAAAAAAGCAAAAAAGTAAGGCTATAGCCTTTATTTTCGTCCATTTTCAGCGACTTTTCTCATTTTTCATAAAGGGAAAAAAACAGAGAAAAAGTAAGGGTATAACCTTCACTATATTCGTCCATTTGCAGCGACTCTTTTCATTTTTCATAAAGGGCCAAAAACAGCAAAAACGTATGGGTATAGCCTATACATTTCGTCCAGTTTCAACGACTTTTTTAATTTTTCATAAAGGGGCAAAAAAACAGCAAAAAGTAAAGGTATAGCGTTTACTTTTCGTCCATTGTCATGAAAAATGAAAAAAGTCGCCAAAAATGGACAAAAAGTAAAGGCTATAGCCTTTAATTTTTGTCCATTTTCAGCGACTTTTTCCATTTTTCATAAAGGGGCAGAAAACAGAAAAAACTAAGGCTACATTCTCGTACCCAGAGCCCTTCTTACGCGCGTTCCACCGAGCGCGACGAGGGGCTCTGGCCAAATCCATATCAGAGGGTCCTGAAGGGGGGGGGGGGTCCCAATTCCATTTCCCACCTGAAATTTTGGCAAAATCCCAGTCCCAGTTGGATTTTTATTAGAAATCCCAGTTCCAGTTATTGAAATCCCAGTCAATAAAAAACCCTTTATTTATCGGTAGAATAAACAGTTTTAAGACCTTTTAAGCATGTGGCAGATACTTTATGAAATATTATGGGGGGGCTCGTGCCAAAGGCACGGAAAATTTTTAAATTTGAATCCCGGAAATGGCATTTGCAGCATTCTGAGACACGCATAATTAGAAAACCCAGAATTCCGGGTGCCGGAGTATGCCTGTTCGCAGGTAGTGCTGTGAATAATATAGTTAACAACAAAAATCATGATCAAAGACACCAAAAACAGATCAAAATTGTATTTTAAAATACTCAAAACGCAGAAAAATTGGGAATCGACTCGCATTACCTTAATCCCATTCCCATTTTTGAGGACTTCATTTCCCATTCCCAGTGGCCAAATCCCAGTCCCAGCAACCCAAATTCCATTTTCCCAGTCTAAAAATAGATCAATCCCAGTTCCCATTTTACCCCTTCAGGACCCTCAAATCAAACTGGCTTCTGATTGGCCACAACGAAATATATGGTTTATTGTATAAAATATTAATAAAAATCAAGCGCTCCACGAGCGTTGGTTTCGTTTTGGAGAAAATTGGGAGAAAAGACATTATTAAAGTTGAAAGAACAGCAGTACGAAGCAGTTAGGAAGAATGTTGTTGATAATCTCTCACAAAAGCGGTAGATGTCGCTAATTTTATTAATTTTAAATCAATTAGTTGATTGAAATTAATAGGTTGAGACGTGATGTTCTCAAGCAAAAAGTTAGCATATTTATGGCAGATGCTTGTCGTATTTCCAAATCAGTGATGTTAATCAAACAAATCTGTGCTCATGTTAATTTCATGTGTACATGTTCAAAGCAGAAGTGCCATCTGAAGAGAAAATATTAAAGCCAGCCAGAATATGAAGTTAATTGTGATGACTATTTTCTTCCTAGAATCCGATTTTTTACAATTTTCAAAGGATTTGCAGTATAGTATGTCTTACGTTTAACTGTTGACTTTTAATAAAACACAAAAAAAGCCTAAAAATCTGTACAACCGCAACTTAAAATCGAATACAAAATAGTGAGACAATCTCTCGTCTTCGTATCAGTATCCATTACTGCTTTGACAACGTTTAAGAGGGAAATATATACTTAATTTTATCAACATACATTGAGAACATCACGTCTTACCTACTAATTGATTTAATTATTAGCGAAACCTGTCGCTTTTGTGGGGATTTCCTGGAGTAAAACTTTCAAAATGAAACAAAAAAGAAAACCGAAGTGTTTATCCGCGTTTGACGTTGAGCATGCGCAGTGTTAAACCCGATACCATTTTTTTATGGTATCCGGCTATGGATTTGGCCAGAGCCCCTCGTCGCGCTCGGTCGAACGCGCGTAAAAAGGGCTCTGGGTACGAGAATGGTAAGGCTATAGCCTTTACTTTTTGTTTATTTTCAGCGACTTTTTCCATTTTTCATAAAGGGGCAAAAAACAGCAAAAGGGTAGGCTATAAATATAGCCTTTCCTTTTCGTCCATTTTCTGCGACTTTTTCCATTTTTCATAAAGGGGTAAAAAACAGCGAAAAGGTAAGGCTATATACTTTTATTATAGCTTTTATAGCCTTTATGTATAGCCTTTATAGCCTTTATGTATAGACTTTATAGCCTTTATAGGCTTTCCTTTTCGTCCACTTTCTGCGACTTCTTCCATTTTTCATAAAGGGGCAAAAACAGCAAAAAAGTAAGGCTATAGCTTTTACTTTTCGTCCATTTACAGCGACTTTTTCCACTTTTCATAAAAAGGCAAAGAACAGCTAAAAAGTAAGGCTCTAGCCTTTACTTTTTGTCCATTTTCAGCAACGTTTTTTTAAACGAAATGTAAGGATATAGCCTTTACTTTTCGTCCATTTTCAGCGACTTTTCCCATTTTTTCATCAAGGGGCAAAAAACAGCAAAAAAGTAAGGCTATAGCCTTTTCTTTTGGTCCATTTTCTGCGACTTTTTTCACTTTTCATAATGGGGCAAAAAACAGCAAAGTCTTCACTTTTCGCCCATTTTCAGCAACTTTTCCCATTTTTCATAAAAGGGCAAAAAGCAACAAAAACGTAAGGATATATGGCCTTTACTTTTCGTCCCAATTCCTGGGTTTACAATTAATTCCTGGTTGTGTTAATTGATTCCACCCGAGACAAGAAAGAGGTAAGTAGAACAAAAAATGAGTTAAAGCAAACGTAGGCAAGATGGCCTAGTGGTAAGGACAAAGTATTGCAAGTGTGTGAAGCTAGGCTCGATTCCTGCTGGAGTCGAAAAGCCTTTCAATGTCACGCGTCGTTGTTAATTAATTCCACCCGAGACGAGAAAGAGATAATTAAGTAGAATAAAAAAGGAGTTAAAACAAGCGTAGACGAAAAGGTCTAATGGTAAGGACGAAGTGTTGGAAGTGTGTAAAGCCAGGATCAATTCCTGGTTGTGTCAAAACCATTTTAATGTCAGGCATCGTTAATTAATAACATCCAAGACGAGAAAGAGTTAAGTAGAATAAAAAAGGAGTTAAAGCAAGTGTAAGCAAGATGGTCTAGTGCATGGTAAGGACAAAGTGTTGCAAGTGCATGAACCCAGGATCGATGCCTGGTTGTGTTGAAACTTTTTAATGTCAGACATCGTTGTTAATTCATGCGAAAAACACGTCAAGTTAATATTATGCTGTTTTTCGAAACAGCATAATATTAACTTTCACGTCGTTTGGAATTACACATGCAGCTGGAAAAACCTGCTTTTTATCTGCAAGGACGTCTAGTAATGCACGAATAAGGGCATCGACAGAAATCCTATTGACAGTAGATTCCATAAATACAATTTTCAGACTAGCCCAAATCCAAGTCTCTGCTACAAAGTCTCTCAAAATAACATTTTTAGAATCTACGGTCCATAGGCTTTTTGCCAATGCATTATTCGGGCATCACAAGACGTCCGTGGAGATAAAAGGCAGGTTTTTCCAGCTGCATGTGCAATCGAAAAAGACGTGAAAGTTAATATTATGCTGTTTCGAACCTTATGTTCTATTGAATTTCAAGGCCCCTGTAGCGGAAACGTGAATTTGTCACGGTCAGAAAAGTTGTATTTTTGTAATCTACGGTCCATAGGCATTCTGTCGATGCCTTATTCGTGCATCTCAAGACGTCCGTGGACATACAAAGCAGGTTTTTCCAGCCGCATGTGTAATCGAAAAAGACGTGCATGAAAGTTAATATTACTAGTGCTGTTTCGAACCTTATGTTCTATTGAATTCAAGACCCCTGTATCGGAAACGTGAATTTGTCACGGTCAAAAAATTGTATTTTTGTAATTTACTGTCCATAGACTTTCTGTCGATGCCTTATTCGTGCATCACTAGGCCGTACATGGACATAAAAAGCAGGTTTTTCCAGCTGTGTAATCCAAAAAGTCGTGAAAGTTAATATATATGCTGTTTCGAACCTTATGTTCTATTGAATTTCAAGGCCCCTGTAGCGGCAAAGTGAATTTGTCACGGTCAGAAAATTATATTTTTGTAATCTACGGTCCATAGGCTTTCTGTCGATGCCTTATTCGTGCATTTCGAGACGTCCGTGGACATACAAAGCAGATTTTTCCAGCCGCATGTGTAATCGAAAAGACGTGAAAGTTAATATTATGCTGTTTCGAACCTTATATTCTATTGAATTTCAAGGCCCCTGTAGCGGAAACGTGAATTTGTCACGGTCAAAAAATTGTATTTTTGTAATCTACGGTCCATAGGCGTTCTGTCGATGCCTTATTCGTGCATCTGGATACGTCCGTGGACAAAAAAAGCAGGTTTTTCCAGCCGCAAGTGTAATCGAAAAAGACGTGAAAGTTAGTATTATGCTGTTTCGAACCTTATGTTCTATTGAATTCCAAGGCTGCTGTAGCAGAGTTTTGAATTTGGGCTAGTCTGAAAATTGTATTTTTGTAATCTACGGTCCATAGGCTTTCTGTCGATGCCTTATTCGTGCATCACTAGGCCGTACATGGAGATAAAAGGCAGGTTTTTCCAGCTGTGTAATCGAAAAAGTCGTGAAAGTTAATATTATGCTGTTTCGAACCTTATGTTCTATTGAATTTCAAGGCCTCTGTAGCGGAAACGTGAATTCTTCACGGTCAGAAAGTTGTATTTTTGCAATCTACGGTTCATAGGCTTTCTTTCGATGCCTTATTGGTGCATCTGGAGATGTCCGTGGACATAAAAAGCAGGTTTTTCCAGCTGTATAATGGAAAGACATGAAAGTTAATATTATGCGGATTCGAACCTTATGTTCTATTGAATTCCAAGGCTGCTGTAGCAGAGTGCTGAATTTGGGCTAGTCTGAAAATTGTATTTTTGTAATCTACGGTCCATAGACTTTCTGTCGATGCCTTATTCGTGCAACACTAGGCCGTGCATGAGATAAAAAGCAGGTTTTTCCAGCTGTGTAATCCAAAAAGTCGTGAAAGTTAATATATATGCTGTTTCGAACCTTATGTTCTATTGAATTTCAAGGCACCTGTAGCGGAAAAGTGAATTTGTCACGGTCAGAAAATTATATTTGTGTAATCTACGGTCCATAGGCTTTCGGTCGATGCCTTATTCGTGCATCTCGAGATGTCCGTGGACATACAATGCAGATTTTTCCAGCCCCATGTGTGATCGAAAAAGACGTGAAAGTTAATAATAGAGACCTTAAGATTGACGTTTACGGCAAACGTCAAACCGCTAGCGAAGTTTTTGATTTTACAACTCTATTATTATAGCTTTCACACTAGTTTTGAAATATGTTAAACTTATTAAACTTGTGCTCTTTATCAATGATTTAAGAAGGCAAATTAACCACTAGTCATGCCATTCACCAAAGCAGTAAATTAAGATTTGGCGTTTGAAGTTGACGTTTGGCGTATAAATTTCATGCTTTAACGACTACAAGCCCTCGTAGCAGTTCAAGCATGAAATTTATACGCCAAACGTCAACTTCAAACGCCAAATCTTAATTTACTGCTTTGGTGAATGGCATGACTAGTGGTTAATTTGCTTTCTTTAAATCATTGATAAAGAGTACAAGTTTAATAAGTTTAACATATTTCAAAACTGGTGTAAAAGCTATAATAATAGAGTTGTAAAATCAAAAACTTCGCTAGCGGTTTGACGTTTGCCGTAAACGTCAATCTTAAGGTCTCTATTATGCTGTTTCGAACCTTATGTTCTATTGAATTTCAAGGCCCCTGTAGCGGAAACGTGAATTTGTCAGGGTCAGAAAATTGTATTTTTGCAATCTACGGTCCATATATAGGCTTTCTGTCGATGCCTTATTCGTGCATCTGGTTACGTCCGTGGACCAAATAAGCAGGTTTTCCCAGCCGCAAGTGTAATCGAAAAAGACGTGAAAGTTAATATTATGCTGTTTCGAACCTTATGTTCTATTGAATTCCAAGGCTGCTGTAGCAGAGTTTTGAATTTGGGCTAGTCTGAAAATTGTGTTTTTGTAATCTACGGTCCATAGGCTTTCTGTCGATGCCTTATTCGTGCATCACTAGGCCGTACATGGACATAAAAAGCAGGTTTTTCCAGCTGTGTAATCCAAAAAGTCATGAAAGTTAATATTATGCGGTTTCGAACCTTATGTTCTATTGAATTCCAAGGCTGCTGTAGCAGAGTGCTGAATTTGGGCTAGTCTGAAAATTGTATTTTTGTAATCTACGGTCCATAGACTTTCTGTCGATGCCTTATTCGTGCATCACTAGGCCGTACATGAGATAAAAAGCAGGTTTTTCCAGCTGTGTAATCCAAAAAGTCGTGAAAGTTAATATATATGCTGTTTCGAACCTTATGTTCTATTGAATTTCAAGGCCCCTATAGCGGAAAAGTGAATTTGTCACGGTCAGAAAATTATATTTTTGTAATCTACGGTCCATAGGCTTTCTGTCGATGCCTTATTCGTGAATCTAGAGACGTCCGTGCATGGACAAAAAAAGTAGGTCTTTCCAGCCGCATGTGTAATCGAAAAAGAGGTGAAAGTTAATATTATGCTGTTTCGAACCTTATGTTCTATTGAATTCCAAGGCTGCTGTAGCAGAGTTTTGAATTTGGGCCAGTCTCCTTACCGCTAGACCATCTCGCCTACACTTGATTTAACGCCTTTTTTATGCTACTTAACTCTTTGTCGTCACGGGTGGAATTAATTAACAACCATGCCTGACATTAAAAAGCTTTCTACACAAACTGAAATCGATCCTGGCTTTACGCACTTGCAACACTTCGTCCTTACCACTAGACCGTCTCGCCTACACATGCTTTAACTTCTTTTTTATTCTACTTAACTCTTTCTCGTCTCGGGTGGAATTAATTGACGATGCCTGACATTAAAAGGCTTTATGACTACAGCAGGAATCGAACCTAGAGCTTCACGCACTTGTAACATCTTGTCCTTACCACTAGAGCATCTCGCCTACACTTGCTTTAAGTTCTTTTTTATTTTACTTAATTTAACTCTTTCTCGTCTCGGGTGGAATTAATAAAAAACGATGCGTGATTTTAAAAGGCTATGACTACAGCGGGAATCGATCCGTACTTCTTCCTCATGCAACACCAGGAGACTACCACTCGACTAGCAGATCTATTCAGTTGTGGAAACTATACTAATATCTACGTAATCCCTCATGACCAAATTCCATTAAAAAAAATTAAATCGCCAAAAATTAAAGGCCTGCGCCTTTCTTTTTGGCACGCAAATGTAGCTTAGTCTAAGTGTAAAAAAATGGACGAATCCCCCCCCCCCCCTCTTTTTCAACTTTTATGCCAATCTCTGCACCATTTTTCAGAAATCATAACTGTACTCTTACAAAAATTTAAAAAGCTAACCTGTACTAAGGTAACCTAAGGGGTTACCTTAAGTTACGGCCTACGGAAATTGAAGGGGGTAGCCTTTACTTTTTGTCTTTTTTGGCCTATTTTTAGGAAATAAATAAGTACGAGCAACAAAATGCAGCAACTTGCAGTAAAATCTGATTTCAACGTACGTTAATTGGAAATTTGTGCTAATGTTGTCTCGGGTGTTGCAACAATTCAATTAACATGCGTTGAAATAAGATTTTATTGCAAGTTGCTGCAATTTTGTTGTTCCTATTACTTTACCTTAAGGGGTCAACCCTAACTTTTTGGCCTATTTTTTAGAAATAAAACAGTCTAAAATGGATGAAATACTAAGCGGTTAGCCTATACATTTTTGTAATTTCCCCTCGCTTTTTCAAGGACAAGGGCAAAAATGGACGAAATATGAAAGGTTAGCCTGACCGAGTATTTCTCAAGAACTGACAAATCAATTAAATAATTTCAAGAAATCGACACATCGTAATAGTAGAAGCAGAAAATGATATGTGAAGGAATTTTTCTCTGGCAACCAAATACTAACAATATTTAAATAATAACACCTGCAACCTTGAAGTTTTTGCTCTGTGTGGACTTGAATTTCAATCTACATATCCTGAACTTCTTTAGTTCTGGTGTATAAGTAGCGGTCAGTTTTGCCGATGTACCTACTACTGCAGGGTCTGAAATTTGCAGTGTCCCGATATCCTCAGGATATTAAAATTTGGTTTTGGATACCAAAACTGTGAATGACTTATATCCCAACTGGATACCAAAAAAATTTCAAACATTAGAAAAATGTTAAGCACCTCTGAAAGTCTCCTGAAAGCTTTTGAATAATATGAGTTTGCCATCCAAGTCTTTCCTCGTATTATGTGCATTTTTGTGTATAAATGAATTGTCTATAGTTGTTGACTGTTGAATCTCCTGTGTTATTGTAATTTGTAACAGTGAGAGTTGGGACAGGTTTTAATACTTATGAGTTATGGTAACCAGTATCCAAAAGTGGGATACTAAACGTTGAATCCTGGTATCCCAGTTGGATACTGAGAAAAAATGTAAATTTCCGACCCTGTATTACAACCAGGGCAAGTAAATTCATAGACAACAGTGCTTTGATAACTTGTTTTGCATTAAATTGTTAATATACTCAGTGGTTCTTAAAAGGCTAATCAATGCCTTTTTTAATGAATTTTCACTGGGAGGGCAAAACATGAAAAAAAGGCAGAACGAAAAATATGAGCCGTCGAGGTTTGGCTAACGCGCGAGTCTGAAGAGAGATTTTGTAAAACTTTAATTTATTAACTTCAGCTATATTTTACTTTAAACATTAACTTCAACTCTTTGTAGCTGCTATAACCAGTGGCGCAGCCAAACCTTAATTTATTTTTTTTTTGGGGGGGGGGGCGAACCTCACGCCGAAGGCGTGAGACCGTCTAGGAGGGTCCGGAGGCATGCATCCCGGGAAAATTTTGAAATCTGGGTTCCCTGAATTGCGATTTCAAGCATTTTGAAGGTGAAATCTAGCAGAATTCTGAAGATTATAAAGTACATCGAAGACATAAATTTTCAGACATTTCTACTCGGAATTAAATAAATTGGAAAAGTCACCTTGAATACAAGATGGCTGTGGAGGAGGCTATGGAAGGGCATAATCTCATTATCAAGTAAATCAACTGCAATTCTGACAGCAATCATGAGCAATTCTGCTTTGCACTTCGGGGGCAGAATTGGCTTTACTGGGAGGGGGGCAAATTCTTTCTCTGGGGGGCAATTGCCCCCCCAGATATATAGTTAAAAAAGGCACTGAGGCTAATTAAAACAAAGCATTTTCGTTCAAATAAAAAGAGAAGACCATAGAGAACCCCAGCCTAGACCTAGGCCTTCTATTTTTATTGATATTTTTTTAATATTCAGCGCTTTTTCACATGAAAAGACTGGGACTAGGTGATTTGGGGGCGGGGCGGAGGAAGGATACAAGCCTGACGCAAGCGAAAAAATAGAAGGCCTAGTGGATTTCCCAACAACAAGGCCAAAACTGCCCTGAAACTGCCCTGGTTGCGAAATGCCCAATTGTTGCGTTCTCAAACAGAATTATTTGCGACTTAACAGCGAATTTAAACCGATACAGGTAAAATAAACTCATTTATAGTATAACTTACTATTTTTTATTTGTATACACGTCTAGAAAATCGGATTTTTTATCATATAGTTTGAAGCAACACTATTATTATGTTGACAAGGTGAAGCGAAAGCACAAAATAATAATTCTTTTATTCGCAAGACAATCTACTGTTTTGCTTTGAATAACTATATTTGCGAATTGGGAATGAGGAATTTGAAATTATTGTTCAAATATTACGGATATACCATTTGTAAACAATGTACGTTTTTATATACAGTACTGCATGTACGGGCTAATAATATATGTATCCGTTTTATTTAATAAATTATAATTGTATATGTGTTTGTA